CCTTCCTTAATCCTTCCTTCCTTCCTTCCTTCCTTCCTTCCTTCCTTCCTTCCTTCCTTCCTTCCTCCTTCCTTCTTCCTTCCTTCATTAATCCTTCCTTCCTTCCTTCCTTAGTCCTTCATTCTTCCTTCCTTCCTCCCTTCCTTCCTTCCTTAATCCTTCCTTCCTTCCTTCCTTACTCTTTCCTTCTTCCTTAATCCTTCCTGCCTTCCTTCCTTCCTCCTTCCTTCCTTCCTTAATCCTTCCTTCCTTCCTTCCTCCCTTCCTTCCTTCCTTAATCCTTCCTTCTTCCTTCCTTAATCCTTCCTTCCTTCCTTAATCCTTCCTTCCTTCCTTCCTTCTCCCTTCCTTCCTTCCTTAATCCTTCCTTCCTTCCTTCCTTACTCTTCCTTCCTTCCTTAATCCTTCCTGCCTTCCTTCCTTCCTTAATCCTTCCTGCCTTCCTTCCTTCCTTCCTTCCTTCCTTCCTTAATCATTCCTTCCTTCCTTCCTTCCTTCCTTCCCTAATAGACTCCTTCCTGTATCGTAACGTGGGCAGGTACAGTCTTGGCATGCAGACGGTGGTTGGGGGTAGAAGCAGGTCTCAATACATTCCCGTAAATCTATTCCGTACGGGGGAGGTTCACGGGAATCCTCTTGTGGGTAATCTCGTAATGACGCCCCGTGTTGAAGGCTGGCAGGCAGACGGTAATGGTGTTGGGGCAGGGTGTGAGTGAGGGTGTGTGGGTGTTTTTTTGTGGGGGTTGTAGGTGCAGGTGTTTTCTGGAGGGTTGTGGGGTGTGTGGGTGTTTTTGTGGGGGTTGTGAGGTGTGGGTGTTTTCTGGAGGGTGTTGTGGGGTGTGTGGGTGTTTTTAGGGGTGTATGTGTTTTGGAGGGAATGTTGGTGTTTTTCTGTGTGTGGGGGGTTGGTGTGGTGTGTGGGTTGATGGTGTTTTACTGTTTGTTGGCTTCTACACTTAAATAGCATACTTCTAACTATAATCTAACCTAAGTACCTAACCTAGCAACTAACCTACTAACCTAACCTAACCTAACCTAACCCAAACCTAACGTCTTTCGTCCAGTAAGATTTTATTAATTGGAATTTTGTCCTCTACGCTGCGTGGGTCGGAGAGAGAGAGAGCGGTAAGAAAGTAGGGGCGGCTGGAGGTGGGGACGGCTGGTGTGGGGGGTGGCAGGAAGTGGATGGGTGGGTGGGTGGTGGATGGGTGGGCGGCAGGAGGTGGATGGTGTGTTGGGTGGTGGATGGGTGGGCGGCAGGAGGTGGATGGGTGGGCGGGTAACTGGGTTTGTGTGAGTTATTACTGGTGATGGGAGCACTAGGCGGCCTCACTGTCCGTGCTGACAACATTAATGCCCGTCCAGCTTTGATGTCTCTAGCCCTCCACCCCCACACAGGGTCCTTCCTTCCTTCCTTCCTTCCTTCCTTCCTTCCTTCCTTCCTTCTTCCTTCCTTCCTTCCTTCCTTCCTTCCTTCCTTCCTTCATTCCTTCCTATTTCTTTCTTTTTTTCTTTCTTTCTTTCTTCTTGCCGCCCTTCACTCATCACACTAAGTGCCTTTTCCCTCTCTCACGCCTTCCTTCCATCCTTCCTTCCTTCCTTCCTTCCTTCCTTCCTTCCTTCCCTCTACCACACACACTCATAGCTACACTGCACACCTAATTCTGTTCTTCCTTCCCCAAGTTGATCTTTTTCTCAGTCTCTTATCATCTCGTGGGTAATAACCTGTTAAGACTCACCCCACTTGTAACGAGAACCAGACAGGTTGTATACAGGTAGTGGACGAGGTGAGGAAAGTTTGGAGGAAAGAAGAAGGACAGGGAGAGGGCGAGGTGAGAAAGTTTGGAGGAAAGAAAGAGATGACAGGGGAGGGGCGAGGTGAGGAAAGTTTGGAGGAAAGAAGATGACAGGGGAAGGGCGAGGTGAGGGAAATTTGGAGGAAAAGAAGGTGAGGGAGAGGGCGAGGTGAGGAAAGTTTGGAGGAAAAGAAGATGACAGGGGAGAGCGAGGTGAGGAAGAAGTTTGGAGGAAAAGAAGATGACAGGAGGGCGAGGTGGTTGGAGATGACAGGGGGAGGGACGGGGTGAGGAAAGTTTGGAGGAAAGAAGATGACAGGGAGAGGACGAGGTGAGAAAGTTTGGAGGAAAGAAGATGACAGGGGGGAGGGCGAGGTGAGGAAAGTTTGGAAGAAAGGTAAGCAGGGGGAAAGGGACGAGGTGAGGAAAGTTTGGAGGAAAGAAAGAGGGACAGGAGAGGGCAAGGGTGGGAAGAAGTTTGGAGGAAAGAAGATGACAGGGGGGAGGGCAGAGGTGAGGAAAGTTTGGAGGAAAGAAGATGACAGGGAGAGGACGAGGTGGAAGTTTGGAGGAAAGAGAGAGGAGAGGGCGAGGTGAGGAAAGTTTGGAGAAAGAAGGTGACAGGGGGAGGGCGAGGTGAGGAAAGTTTGGAGAAAGAAGAGATGACAGGGGAGGGGCGAGGAGTTGAGGAAAGTTTGGAGGAAAAGATGACAGGGGGAGGGCAGGGTGAGGGAAAGTTTGGAGGAAAAGATATTGGGGGAGGGCGAAGGTGAGGAAAGTTTGGAGGAAAAGAAGATGACAGGGAGAGGACAGGGTGAGGAAGGTTTGGAGGAAAAG